GATCGTTTTCATTATATAGTTTTGAAACTAAAACGCACTAGTGTAATTGGGGCCTAAGGCAATGGTGCTCCTCTGGAAATAGGTGGCTTTACACTTCCATTGTAGGAGAAGAGTCCTTGACCCAGGTATAGCAGTTTAAGAATTTTGGGTTTTTGTTCACAAGTGAAGGCAGGATGAAACGAGATTGACAGGTGGATCAGTGAATTAGCAGCAGTAATGCTGTCGATGTACTGGCACACTGAGATAAATAAGGAGCGGAGCCCAAAAGCAAACCTCTCGAAAATAAAACGCTTTCTAAAATAAAAATAAAAGTATATACTTTCTAATCACAAAACCTTGCATCCCAGAGCTTGTGCAAAACAAGATTCTGTGGTTAAATAGTATATATATTTTATTTTCTAACTCAACAAACTAACCTAAACAAAGTGTGAATGCACTGCTATTTAGAGAAATGTATTTGCAAACATATGAATGAATAAATGCAGTTAACAATGCAATGTTTTCAAATAATTTTATTTCCAAAATTGAATAAGGGGAGTAAACGGCACTGTTCGTTTAAAAAGGTTCCATTATTTCTTTGTTAAATGTAAGAACGGCCTGGCTCACAAAATGAACCCAATACAGCACACTAATCTCTGATATTACAGATTTCTTTCTCTTTTTTTCTTTTTAAAAGTGAATTCATGAAAACAGAGCCATGCTCCGAAAGCCCCAAGGGAGCACTGAAATTTGATGAGACCTAACAAATGGTGAAAGTTTAAAACTACTTAATAGGTATATTTAAATAATGATCTATTTTTCCTCTGTATTACCGTGTACTGACCAGATCAATTTCATGAGCCAAACACGAGTGCTCTGCAAAGAACATCACACATACAAAGATTAAATGATAGCAAGAGAACACTGATAGACATTCAGAACTTCTAGTGCGTACATCAGAACTACAGAACATTTAACATGGTTCACCACCTCCTTTTCCACTGGGCGCTTTTGAACATTTCAAACTGCAAATTCAATTCAATGCAAATTCAAATTGGGCCACCATCTCCCATCTTTCTTCAAAGCTCTTTGGGTTAATTACTAAACGCCAGTCGACATGGAGTTGCATCGAGCACCACAAACAATTCAGAGGTACATAGAGGGCAATCATCATGACATAACCAGTTCTTTTTTTAGTGGCTCTTAATGGTAAATGCAGAAGTGTATGTCATTGATTAGGTCACTATCACAAGATCGAGTGAGGAAGAGAAAAGACGGGCAAAACTGATGTGGGTTTATTATTCTGAACCAACCTGAGGAAGCCGTAGTATTTTTCTGTTACCTTAAAAGGATAGTTCACCCAAAAAAACTAAAACACAAAAGAAGAAATCATAAAGGATGTTGGAAACTGGTTGGTATTACCATCTAAAGCAGTGTCTCAAACTCAATTCCTGGAGGGCCACAGCTCTGCAGATTTTGGCTCCAACCACCTCCAACTCACACATGCTTAACAGTCTTTAGTACTCTAAACACCTTGACTAGTTGGATCAGCCTTGTTTGATTTGTTTTAGAGCAAAACTGCGCAGAACTGCAGCTCTCCAGTAATCGAGTTTGAGATCCATGATTTAAAGCAGTGTCTCAAACTCAATTCCTGAAGAGCCACAGCTCTGCAGATTTTTAGCTCCAACCACCTCCAACTTACACTTGCTTAACAGTCCTCAGTACTCTTGAACACCTTGATTAGTTGGATCAGCTATGTTTGATTTGGGTTGGAGCAAAATTGTGCAGAGCTGTGGCCCTCCAGGAATTGAGTTTGAGACCCATGATCTAATGTATGTCCTGTCATTTTCTTTCACTTATCTGGGGCCGGGTTGCAGGGGCAGCAGTTTCAAGAGAAAACCGTAGACACTTGCCTCAGACACTTCCTCCAGCACCTCAAGTGGGATCACGAGGTATTCCCAGGCTAGCAGAGACATATGCTGCATTCCAATTTGCATACTATCCATCCTAAATAGTATTTAAAAATAGAATTAGTATGTCCCAAATCGTAGTATGTTGAAAAGAGTATGGCAAAGGTTCCCAGATGGTTTACTATTTCGGGTAAAAATTTGGTTCTAAAAGTTTCGAACAGTCCATACTCGAATTGCTGATTTTGAATAGCGAATTGCCACCAACAATACATTGTGCCTTGGACGTGAATTTGATAAGAACTACAAACGCAGATGAAAAGTGTAAATAAACTACAAACATGGCCGACGCAAACACCAACCATCAAGTAGAAAGGCTTTGGTAAATATGTTAGTTAACATCTTTAATTAACATCTTGCCCACTGGAAATTATTTAAATATATTTTAGTGTTATATTTTATCTGCAACAACAACGTTAGACGTATTTGGACATTAATGTCTGAATACATAATGATCCAAAGACCTGATGAGATTTCTCTGCATGAAAGACTCGTGAGTGGCAGATTATCCTGCTGCTGCTTCTAGTACAGGAGCCAATCATCAATCACTATATGGTGGAAAAAAGCCCGCCTTTTAGTACAGAAGCCAATCATCAATCATTAAAGACTGACAGTACTCTGGGGGAGGGGCTTGGACCAGACGTGAGTTTCTGCAGATTTTATGTGATTTAGACGTTTAGAAATGAAGCTTAAGAGACAGATGTTGTTTAATTTTATTGAAGATTGCTAATATGAAATTCAATTGTAAGCTTGGCAAACTGTTTTTGGAGAATTTGATGTTTCCCTATTCAGTCTGAATGTCCGAGCATACTGCCTGAGAGGCGTTTCAAAGATGGCTGCCAAGTGAAAAGACTTGCCTTAAAGGGACTTTGGTTTAGCTGGTCATTTTCAAGCCTGACCAGCTAGGACCAGGCTGGAAACGGCTGAAATTCAGGTAGGCATCCGAAACAGATGACTGAGCCACCTCAACAGACTTGTATGAACTTTTTATTCTAACTTTAGATGGCAATGCAATCAGATTCCGACATTTGCTTGCCATTACCATCAAAATTATGAAAATTAATATATTTCTTCCTACTTCAGATAGTAATAGCAAACAGTTTCCAACATTCTTCAAAATATCTTCTTTTGTTTTCAACAGAGAGAGAGAGAGAGAGAACACAGTATTATAAAGGTTTGGAACCGCTTGAGGATGAGTAAATGGTGAGTTTTATTTTTGGGTGAACTGTCCCTTACGGGCTGACATAATAAAACTCAGTGCAGAAAACAGAAAAGCCCCTTGTTCTCCAAAACATCATCACGTGTGTCAACATCCAGCATCTAACGTCTGTGCAAGAGAATACACAATGCGTCAGAAGGTCATTTTATCGACCCATCTTAAATTTGTATAGATGTCCTATACTTTTTAAGCAAGAACTATCTAAAAAAAAAAAAAAAAAAAAGTATCACCTTCAAATACCTCCCAAAAACATAAACAGGAGCATCTGTAGCATCTCCTACTCTCCTGAAAGAACCTGTTCCTAAATCCAACTGCATTTTGGGGAGAAAGTTGAACTGGTCCTCCAGCGCATCACAGTTTGTTTAAATCCTTCATCTGAGGTTACTCTATTGAATAAGCTTCAACTATAGCATAAATTCTCTCTTCCGACCTCCATGTAGAAAAATAAGAGCATCTAATTTGTCAATATATTCCTCTTTAAAAGTTACTATAAAGCTAAGTGACAGTTTTACATTCAATCATTAATCTCGCCTCGCTCATTCCACATAAACCATTAAACCAACACTACAGCGGTCGTCCATCAAAAACCACACCACCGACCTGAAGGGTGAAGAAAAAGAAGAATGAGTTCGATTATATACTGCATTATTGGAGATCATTCTGCTATTGGTTGGATACTGCAACGCGAACTGTGATTGGACCAGCACTCCAGGTGATTGGCTTTAACATCCCGTAAAAACCGAACATTCAGACGGGCACTTTCATCTATACTTGAGGTCTGATATGGAGAATATTGGAATGAACTACACCTGTCGACTTGTACTAACCTGAAAAGGCAATATTGCTCTTTAGTGCATGAACAATAAAAAGTAATTAACATAACTAATTAAAACGGTCTTGTCTTACAAAACCAGAACAACAAGTACAAAAAAGGGTCATTTATAAGTGCTACCTGTTGATAAAAGTGACTTTCAGCTTTTATAACAAAACCAAATAATATTTAAGGGTTGTTCATAAGGTTTCAAAAATATTGTAAGTGAATATAAATATGGGACAAGGGCAGGATGCCCCATTTCATGGGACACATCAAATAAAATGAACAAAACGTATTTTAAATATGCATATTAAATGGAAGATAAGCATTTTAAGTTTAATATTTTCTAAATTAAGAGTGAAATAATGTTATATCATCATTCTGTGTAACATTTATTCAAAAATAAAACCGCATACTTAAAAAATAAGTGATTGTACTAAATTTGATTACATTTTAATTCATTAAAACTAGTGGTTTGTCGGAACAGACTATAAATAGTGAGTCTTTCATGTTATCAAATGATTTTTGGTAAATAAACTATCATTACACAGAATTTTAGTGGGAGTCTTTTGTAAATCATTTTAAAGCATATGATGGCCATCATTTTCTTTCTCATAAATAAAAGTGAAATTCACCAGGACACATTCTAATGTCAGGCAGGGGGAAGGACAAATAAATACGTAAATAAAGCTATCTTACACTTTTAGTGTATCAATGCTGATAATCTTTTTTTTTTTTCAATAAAAACAAATAATAAAAATACTAACAATGAGAGAGACTTTATTCCTAGCAATGGCTATATACAGTTCAAGTCAGAATTATTGGCCCCATGTTAATAATTTGTTCTGTAGACTATGGGGAATAATAGCTTAAAGGGGCTATTAATATTGACCTTAAAATGGTGTTTCAAAACATGTAAAACAGCTTTTATTCTAGCCGAAATGAAACAAATAAGACTTTCTCCAGAAGAAAAATTATTACCAGACATACTGTGAAAATTTCCTTGCTCTGTTAAACATCATGTGAGAAATACTTCAAAGAGAAAAAACATTTAAAGGGGGCTAATAATTCTGACTTCAACTGTACTGCTAAACAAGCGTGAACTCAAAAATCGCTGAATATTAAAGCCACAGCTAAAGAGTTACGTTTAATTATCAAACAAATCTACTACAATCTGGCATGTTTTAATCGTACAACAACAGGGGGCTGATAAAGTAAGTGAGATTGTCAACACTTGGCTTGTGTTGTTTCCTTTGGGCAAAAAAAGCTAGAAAGTTGCTAGTGACTAAGTGAGTGTTGAAGAGGTACTAGTTAACCTGTACATTCCTGCTTTACCAGAGTTGAGTGGAAGAAGTTATTGAGCGGAAACCCGAGAAAGGCAAGTGAAAGTATTCCTGCATTAAAACTGTGCAAATATGTGATAATTGATTATTTCTAGATGATAAACAGTTTATTTCTTACTCAAGCCTTAGCGAGTCATACCTAAAACACTGTATAACAGTGTAAACAACCATGTAAACCACTGGAAAACTAGAGGAAGCTATGGCTTAGCTTTAAGCTAATTTACCTGTATCGTTTAAGATCATGCACACTATGTGAGTAGATGTCTCGTCATCATAACCCCGCATCCTTTCCAGTTGAAGAGAGTACCGTTACTATCATCGGTACACAACAGCGAACGCCTTTCAGCAGTGAATGCTCAAAGCGCCATTTCTATGTTTGCCTAACCTAACCACATGATAGACTAGATCTGAAGCCTTCTCTGTAAAGTATTTACAAATGTAAAACATCTCTCTGAAATAGTCATCTCTATATTTTTGCATTTACTATGGTACTGCACTGCATAACGCGGTGCAAAACATCTAAAGATTGCCTGTTCCTTTAACAGATTTACTAAAATACGAAGGGCGCTTTAAACAAACTGTGACGCAATCTGAGGATCCAGCTTCGCCTGCTTGGCAGACACACATACATACAAACACATGTGCGCAAGCACATACACACACACACACTCAACACCCCATCCCACTGGAAAAAGGAAGTCTGTGAAGAGATCAGCCATTACGTGTAGTAAGTTTAGCTTTTTTTCCTTTGAATATTAGAAAAAAAGTATATTCAAAGCTACAAATAACAGACTACGCTTTTCATCTCATGCATCATATAAAATATTAGTTTCTCTTTCCTTTTGTCCATATATTTACACATTATTTTACAGGTGAACTGTACAATAAAAGTTGAATCCACTCCACATTCTTAAAAATATTTTCTGACCCATAATTACTTCGACACGTAAAATGAGAAGGAAAGAGGAGGAGAAAGAGAGAGAGAGAGGCCGAGAGAAAGAGCGAGGCGCTGTTTGTCCTGCAGGACGTCCTGAAGCGCTCCTCCTGCATAAATTAAACCTGCGGATGAAGGATGACGGCATGCACCGGGCGGACGAGACAATGACGATGCGGATATTGTGTTTGGCGGTAAACCAGAGCTCAGTGTTGGTGGTCCGGCCTCTCCCAGAATTCAGTGCAAGCAACCTATAGGTGGGAGAGCGAACGGGAGCGAACACCCGTTTAGGTCTGGCTCCTCACCTATAAGCAGTGGAAGGGTATCTGAGAGGGTACAGCACAAATACTGCTATTTTTCTTTCTCTCTCCCCCCCTCAGAAGCCCTCCAGCCTGCGGGACCGCTCAGTGGAGGTCTGGTGGTGTCCCTGACGATGCGCTTTACTGAGGCGGAGGGTTGGAGCGCTCCGTCATGCTGTCGGAGCGATGAGCTGCCAGTTGCTGCTGCTGTTGTTGATGCTGCTGTTGAAGCTGTTGTTGTTGTTGTTGATGCTGCTGTTGAAGCTGCTGCTGCTGTTGTTGCTGCTGCTGTTGGAGTTGTTGCTGCTGCTGAAGTTGCTGCTGTTGTTGGTGAAGTTGCTGCTGTTGTTGTGTTGCGGTTGTGAATGTGCCTTGTTGTTGAAGAGGAAACGCCGCCTGGAGGATCAGCTGGGTAGACTGGTTGCTATGTAAAAGACGTGGGGCCTGCAGAAACAAATGGGAAATGTATTACTACACTGTAAAACCCAACAGTCAGCTTTATCAAATGAAATGACAGTAGTTAAATCAAAATTGACTGAAAGTTAATTATACTCATTTGAAATGAGTTTTGAACTCAGTGTTGAAGGACGGGTTAATGAAATACCTCATTACTTCAATCCAGGGGTTAGAAGTGTGCGTGACTTATTTGAGGACCGGGGGCACTTATTTGAGGACTCGTTTGCGGGCATTATGAGTCCCGCAAATACATAGAGACTCCCAGGAATTTCCGAGAGACTTGGGATGTCTGAATATCACGTTTAACATCTGTAGTGAGATGCGATCCAGTGGTACAAACTTGATAAAGACGTGCACTGCTCTCTGTATCTAGAGCTCTGAGAGAGAAGCTCGTGGCTGTGTGTGTGTGTGTGGTCACGTGATGTGCGTTTTCAGCGAACAGAGTCTTGTTCAGAAATGCTAGGTATAACACAGTATGGACGTGGATAATTTTCGTTCTAAAATGCCATTTTAACACTAAGACGTATTAGCTTAAATAGGGCCTGAGTGTGTATTTTTTGCGAGCGAGTTTGCGACGGGGGCGGGGCGGAGCATTGTCTATCAGCCCAATCCTAGTTTCACTGCGCTCAAATTGCTTCATTTCCTCGAATGGATTCAGTTCCCAGTAATCACTAGGATTAGTTTTTGATCAGTTTTCTCAAATGGTTTGAATTGCCATAGCTTATTGGGGTTTTACAGTGTATATGGAAGGGAATTTCAGAAATTTTGACAAAATGATAATTACCTTTGGCTATGGCTGATAATCACATTATGAACACATTATAAATATAAAATATGTATTACTACCAAAAAAAGGCAAAGTTAGCACCATAACATAATATTGTACCAATTGAAATGCTGATTGAATACAATAATACTTTTAAAAAATATAAAAAATATAGTTGAAGACCAGGGGCCTCATGTACGAAGACTTGCGTGGAAATCTTACTTAAACATTGCGTACGCACAAAGCTATAAATGTGCGTACGCATAAAAAAATTCAGATGTATGAAACACTGCGTACGCCAAATCTCACGCATGTTCTTTTGTACATCTGAATGAACGTGAAACTGAGTGCAACATGCACGAGCACAAAACCCCTCCCTGCCTCCTCCCCCGTATGAATATGCTAATGACTATGCTAATGTCAAAACCCAACGAAAAAGCAATGGCAAAATTAAGCAAAAAGAGAAACTTTGAACAGAATGTGAATTGGAGGTGCTTTCTGAGGTAGACCGGAGAAAAGCGGTGGTATTTGCAAGTTTGTTCTCCGGAATTAACAACAAAAGAAAAAAAATAGAGTGGGAGAGTTTAGCTGATGCGGTTAACACAGTTGGGTCTGAACATCGCACTGAGTGCATTTAAAAAAGAAATAGTGTGGTTTATATCTGTAAACTGTTGCAGAACGCTTAGCAGACTCAGTGGCGCACCTCGTAAGACGCATGTAATCATGTACTGACAAGTTCGAGCATGAACTCGGCTCGAATCCAGCGTCTGATGAATTCTTTCTTCTTTTTTTCCCCGCTACATATCAGATTTTGCCCACTATTTATCACGAGAAAGACAAGTAGGAATCATCAATAAGTTCATATCAATAAGCATCATATTTTATTTGCACATTTATTGAATGGAAATGTTTCTGATTCATGCATGCAAATTCATCTTCAGATAGTGTCTTAATAGCAGTGTGCGTGCAGTAGATTGCTCAGATTACATTGGGAAAACAGGCGACTACTGCAAATTGTGCTTTAATGTTTAGCTGGTCAACTGTATGGTATGGAAACCTTACATACCTACTAGATGAACCCGTCTCATACAGCTGCCATTGCAAGGCTCAGACACTTTGTAGAGAGGAATTTAACACAACTGCCTCTAGGAGTCGCCAATGGAAATAAAACAGACACGCACAAAAAAATGTGCGTACGCCTGCCAGAAAGCTGCCGTGAAGGTGCGCACATTCCCACGTTCAGTTCATTGTTAGTAAATCCAAACGTGAGCGATTCTGAGCGTGAAACCTGGCGTACGCAAAGTTTTTGTGCGTACGCAGCGTTGATACATGAGGCCCCAGGCCTGTAGCCAGGGGGGGTTTGGGTGGTTCGAAAGACCTTAACCTCACTGACAAAGGTCCAGAATTTGTCCCATACAGGAGTTCATTTGTCCTATTTTGACTGCTTTGCCATCAAAAATAGTTAAAATAACCAATCGAAAACCCATCAAATTAAAATGTATTTGAATACAATTGTTGTTATCCATGAATTTTCAAATATATATCATAAATTATTTTCAATATTGTTATTATTAATTATTACTAATTAATTAATTATTTTTATTGTTGTTGTTATTATTTTAATTATTATTATTATTAACATATTATTCAAATGACTAAATTCTGACTGAGGAAAGTTGAATGTGTTGGCCTGTTTACATTCAGTTTACACTTTTTTAGTTACAGTACTTACAGACAATTAAATAACACAGATTTACTGGGAGAACAGTTTATAGTTCAGATATAAACACTGATGTTTATGGTGAAGCATAAAATCACTGTTTAATGGAACTTGACCCTGGTGAATGTTGTAGCAATTACATTGTGTAACCAATGGGTGGCGACAAACAGCCATAAAAATGATGTCACTGAATAGGTTTTCAACAATTATACATCTATAATGAAACATGAAGTTTAATGTGCGAGTTGCTGAATCATTAATTGAAAATAAATATGATCTGTTGTACAAGGTGTTAGATTTATATGTTTAGCATTATCAGCAAAAGTAGCAAATATCATTTTTTCGTATTAAATATTTATCCTTTTTTTCAGTTGGTTCTTTATTGATTTTTATTTTCATTAAAATCACAGGTTCTATCTTCTGTTTGTTAAAACCAATGGCTTTTGCAGTAATATTTTTGTATAAATGAAAAGCAAATTACACTGTCTGCTCCCTTTTTTGTTGATTCGAAAAATGGTCCGATCCGTCACTCAAAATCCGTAGTGTGATTTGTGATCAGCTACACCAGTACTTTCAACAAGCATAATGGTGCTTTTTTTGGTAGTATCATATGGTAGTAAATGATGACAGAATATGCATTTTTATCAAAGGTGTCCTATTGATGATTATAAAAAGCTGTACCTGAAGGAACTGCGTCTGCTGCTGTGTGAGCTGAGCCTGGTTCTGTCCCTGCTGCTGGGCTGTTGCTGCGGCCTGTGTCTGTGCCTGTGTGTGGGTCTGCTGATCGGCTGTCTGCGCTGACGGCTGCTGAGCAATGCTGATAGTCTGAGGCTGACCCTGCTGAGGGGCAAACGCCGTCACCACCTGCCCCATGAACATGGTGGTGGGAACCATAACTGCACCACATGCCATAGGGCCTGTTACTAGCTTAGTGAGGAGCTGTTGGGTGGCAGGGAACCTGTGGAGCACAGTCAGACAGGTTAGCTTTGTTTGAGTTTCTGGCTAAAAATATCAATTTATTAATAAATAATTCAATCAATTCTCAGTGTATATGAAGAAATGTTAATACATTGCTTTTATTGAGAGCATTTTACTTCAGAAAATGACAACTGGTCAGAGTAGCAAATGCTTTCAGTTGTTGAGTTATTCTCTGTATAAAAAGTATTGATTTCTCAACCCTTGTGAAGTTAAAACATTGGTATTTTGTTCTCTAAAAATGTACAGAAACATGTTTGAAATATTCACACATTTTTGTTATTCCATACCAAAAACAAGCCCAGTCTAAACAGTAATGTCGTAAATACAGAGTTAACATATATAAATAAAAATATATTACAATATAAATATATATAATATATACAACATTTAATATATAGATATAAAGATATATAAAAATTGACTATTGACGTTGTTTATTAATAAGAAACAAACAAAATAAATAAATACCCCAGGTGCATCACCCAATTATTTTCTAACAATTTTACAGCCCGTTATCAGATACAGTATTACTTACAAATGGAGGACATGACATTAATGGTTATTTTAAAGGGCCATGAAACCCCCTCGTTTCAGCAGGGTGTTTTCACACCTCTACTTTGAAAAAAAGTCAGAAAAGTGGGCGTGTCCAGCTCTGTTTAGGGGGGAGTGTCGGAGGAAGAAAAGAGGCTTGGTGTGGGAGTGTCTATTTGGGCGCGCTGAATTTCAGAGTCAAAACACACACAAAGAGGAGAAAGTGACTGTGTTTTCATGGACATCTGTAGTCGAATTATTTGCCAAATTATTAAATGGTGGACTTTAACTGCAGTTTGGCTCTTTTCATTCAGGTATTCATTCATGTCCCTCGCGACAAACGTGATATTTGATTCGAGGCGCTGCTCTAAGCGTGTACTTTTCATGCAATGTTTGATACCGCACGGCGAACGAGAGAAAAAAAACCTCCACATTTCCTGGAAACTTAGATGCACACGGCAGGTAGTGTCAGAAAGCAGCATGTGTTATTCCGGTCACAAAATCCAACACGAGGTTATAGTTTGGTTGTAGTGCTAACTTGTTTACACTCGGTGCAATAGTTTGTTTGATACGAATAAAATACGAACTGAATAAACAAAGAGCATTGGTCGCTCACTTACCAAATCTGTAGAGACAGGAAAATCACCAGCAACTAGAGCCGCGTCTTTATTTAGAGGAGACTACAAGCGAATCCGCATCTCAGCATTTGCAGATGAGAACAGCTCTCAGGTAAACAATAATCCTCCTTAGACACGCAAGTTATTGTTGTCGCGCGTCGCGTACACTGTTCATCCACACGTGACGCGCTCTCACAGAGAGAAAATGAAAACAAAACTTAACGGCAGCAAACTATAAAAGCAACACTTCACGCTTGTTTTGCCAACACAACGTGGTGTCTCTGCTGTCTAAACACTGTGACAGTAATGAATATTATTGAAGTTGCACAATAGAGCCCGCTGATTGGTTTGAACAAAGCCTTACTCATGCATTAATGCAACACACTGTAAGACATAATAAGACACACTCTGGCACAGACGCCCAGTCTGCACGCTGGAATACAATGCTATTATGTCATGGCCGTGACGCAGCTTCAAAAATTCGTTTCAAACCGGAAGTACGAATTTGCTTGAAATAACGCAAAAACAACCAATTTACACTTTTTAGTGAAATATAGTTGTCCTTATAGTGTTTGTAGCAGTGTGGGACACATATACAACTGTCAACAGCTCAAAAAATGTGTTTTGGTGTTTCGTGACCCTTTAAGCTAGTGAAGAACTCTAATACGTGTTTTATGTGTATAATAAGTCTGATTGTGTGTTTGATACCGTATCTGTCGATCTTGTGAGAAGGTTGCGACGGCGGCTCCGCTGGTGCTGCTGTTTTGGGCCAGGCTTGTGGAGATCTGGACCACATTGGCCTGTGTCGGCTGAGAGATCATCATGGTATTATATAGAGATGCAGGCAGAGCACCCTGAGGAGACTGCAGTGTGTGGGTCGACCTCTGAGACTGCTAAAACACACACACACACAAACAGTCTTAAGATTAGATTATTTTTGTATTTAATCTGAAAGATCACCAATAATTATTACTAAACATCAAAAATAAGTGTACAACCTGATAATTTAAGCAATGGATACATTGAATGCTCCAGTAATTACAGACACACAGGGGAGTAAATTCCCTAGATTTTTCAGTGTTGGCCTACAGAACACAACGAAACAGGATGGTTCATTAACTGACTCTCAGGGGTCACACTTGTTTGGTATTCACTATTTTTGATCAATTTAATATTACACTGGGCGACGCGGTGGCGCAGTAAGTAGTGCTGTTGCCTCACAGCAAGAAGGTCTCTCGTTTGAGCCTCAGCTGGGTCAGTTGGCATTTCGGTGTTGAGTTTGCATGTTCTCCCCACATTCGCGTGGGTTTTCTCTGATTGCCCCGGTTTCCCCCTCAGTCCAAAGACATGTGGTACAGGCGAATTGGTTAGGCTAAAATGTCCATAGTGTATGTGTGTGAATGAGAGTGTATGGATGTTTCCCAGTGATAGGTTGCAGCCTAAAGGGCATCCGCTGTGTAAAAACATATGCTGGATAAGTTGGCGGTTCATTCTGTTGTGGTGACTCCTGATTAATAAAGGGACTAAGCTGAAAAGAAAATTAACGAATGAATGAATATTACACCAAACCTGACAGGTGCGTTATGGTGTATGTGCGTGCACCTGCTGTGTTGCCATATCTGCTTATTTTCAGTGTCAAACTCCAGCTCTGCAGTTTAGTTTCAACCACAATTAAACACAGCTGATCAAACAGATGGAGTCCTTTAGGCTTGTTTGAAACCTACACTTAAAGCTGCGGGCTCACTGCAGTTTTCTCCCCATAGACTTCCATTCATACGTTTGCGAATGTGGCGGAAATGTAAGGTTGTGCGACATATTTCGCAAGTCACTGTTTTCCAAAGTTCAAGCTTGGTGAACTCTGACCTGCAAAATCGCATCACGTGAGATCAACAGAGGGTCAAAAGATGAACTCTCCATACAGAAATTTAAAATATAGACCAATCGCTCATTTTTTTTTTTTTTTAAGTATATTGATATTGTTTAGGTGGTTCATTCCGCTGTGGTGACCCCTGATTAATAAAGGGACTAAGCCGAAAAGAAAATGAATATATGAATAATCTTGTTTAATCCCACCCCTTTAGCAGCACCATATGACAGAATTTCATATGCACAAACTCTAGTATGACTGCAGCCTAAGTGTGCTGGAGCAGAGTTGGAACTAACCCCTGTGCAGAGCCCTCCCGAGTTTGACACCCCTGGTTTATGGGCTTTATCTTTAGGCTTCGCTCATAAATCTAGCAATATAGATTGGTTTTATGTTCAATATAAATTGTTTAGGGGGTTTAGCTTCAACCCCAATAAGACACAACTGAACCGATTAAACCTCCTAATAATAATAGAAATGTCCTGGAAGGTGTGTTGAAGGAAGTTGGTGCTAAACTCTACAGGGAACTGGACCTCCAGGGCTGAGTTTGGGCAGCCCTGGTTTCCTGTTTGCCATTATTCCACTAAGATCTGGCAACACAAATGAGTCACGGTTTGTACCTCTTTCCTTACATACAGAACAGACTTGGTTTAAAGTGTTTCCTAAACTGTCATGCTTTATCTTGTAAAAATGCATTATTCAATGCGTTATTATTCCACAATTTCAAATTTAGTGGTGCCAGGCAGGGCAAGTTAAGCTTGCTGACACTGAATCATCAGCTGGTCACCATCTAGAACCACCATCAGCACTCTTTGCCACCCCCTGTAAGTCCTTGGTTTGATGACGAGGCTGTCAGCAGTACCTGGTTGAGGTTGGTGGTCTGGTCTCGGAGCAGGTTCTGCTGCTGCACTGCTGTCTGCTGAGGATGCTGTGTGACCGTGTGTTGTGTGCTGCTGTGTGTGGACTGCAGACTGCTCTGCAGGGTCGCCGTAGGCACCACTGCCCCTTGCATGGACAGAGTGCCTGCTGTCTGTACAGATGAGCTCTGTGTCAGCTGCACTGAGCTGAGGTTCAATCCACCACCACTCGGCTGCAGAAACATCTACATATCCAAAAAAAAAAAAAAAAAAAAAAAAAACAACGTGTCAACTTAAGGCAGAGAGAGCACAGCGCACATGTAGACTACAGCTTGATGGCACTCTTACCTGTAAACCCTGTCCTTGAACCCTCTGCAGCTCGTCCTGGATCTGCCGTAGCTCCTCCTGCTGTCTCTGGATGTTTGCCTCAATCATGCGTGTGCGCTGCTCCAGCTGCTCCTTCAGATGCTGCATTGCATCCATCTGTGTGGAAAACTGCAGCACCGGCTACAGAACAATCAACAGCAGCAGATATTATTTGATGTTTTATTTAGATTTTTTGTTCAGTTGGATTAAAATGGCCTTAAAGGGATAGTTCACCCAAAAAAATAAAAGTCTTTCATCATTTACTGCACTTGTTCCATACCCGTGTTTCTTCTGTTGAACACAAAATGAAGATATTTCGAAAAAAGCTGAAACTCTTTCATGGTATTTGTTTTTTTTTCACTATCGATGTCAACGGTTACAGGTTTCCAGCTTTCTTCAAAATATCTTCTTTTTTTGTTCAGCAGAAGAAAGAATGTGAACAATGTTTAGAACCACTTGAGAGTAAGTAAAAAAGTAGATTTGTTTTCTTAAACTTTCCCTTTAAGTAAAACTTTTTAAAGCATTTTTTATGTTGACTCCATGTAATAGATTTTAAACTTGAATGTTACTTAATTTTTGGTTAAACTACGTGAATCATTTTAAACTAAAAACTAACTGGACAGTGCATCTGCGTTTCCAACATGATTTGCAAGGGAAATTAGGAGAGTAAAAATAGAAATTAAATTTAAATGTGTGTGTTTTTTTGGTAAAGGGAAAGACATGTTAGTGTTTATTGTTGTGCCTGCTGTTATGTTGACAGCATTTGTAATAAAATTTAGATTGTTTTATTCAGAAAAAAATATAACTTTGACTTCAAAATATCTAGACTGACAAACATTGAATGTTTAAGGTGCTGAAGATGATTGGTGCAGGTTAGCATAATATCTTTGAAACAGTCCCACCCCTGCCATCCATAGCCACACCTCCTGAAATCGTGAACGCGCGCACCCTAAAGATGACAGTAGACAACCCACTAGATCATGTCATTCCCCATTTAGAAAACTTTATAGTACTTTATAATAAGACAGTTCTGAAATTGTATTATATCTAGCTGTTTTCAGTTGTGTAGAAAACTTGTCCAAAAGTTTTCTACAAAAAACTTGTGCAGAACTTGTCTTAATGTGCAATATTTCAAGCATGCAAGGATCACTGGTATCACTCTATCACACTTTGTTCTAAAGCGACTACTATAAGCTTAGTGGTTGGCCAGCGGCATGAAGGAATTACACTTATTACTAAGCCATACTTACATGCTATTTCAGACTGAATATTCATAGTGGTAAACAATATAGGTGTTCACACGCCAATGGCGGACATATGTGCCCAGTAAAGATGCGCAGATCAGCTGAATTGACACCCGAATCCGCAGCTTCATACTAATCATCCACCCGCCCGCATATATAGTTTTATCTGATATATGTATCCCCACCGCACCCAATCGTCACTTTAATAATTGAATTCTTTGTTTTAGGCATGATGATAGGTGACCGTGGATATTAACAGCAGATTCAGTGAGCTATAATCTGTGATAGTAAAATAATAAGTTAATCTTAAACGTTTTTAAATTAACATTTATTTTATTTATTTAAAACAAAATTTTGTCTTTAAAAATAAGCGATCTTGTTTCTCCCAGAACGATGGCAGATTTTCCTCTGATGACTCCTCTAACTGAAACTTTGAACAGTTATGCTACTCTTGCACTTTATCCATTATTTTGGGCGCCGCCTCATTCCATTCTGCAAAGCCCACTCTCTGCTTTTTCGCTGGTCAACTGCCATGTCCCACTACATCCACCTGCAACTGACCTGCAATTAATCATAATGTATTTTTTATTATCCGACCCGCAGATTATGCGCAGCTCCCGGCGATATAACCACCATCCGCGCATCACTAGTGACCAGGGATGCACAGATGTACAAATCTATATTTGTTGACAGACAGTTTGGGCTACTTATTAGAATTATGGGAATTGTCAGCCTGACGATATTTAATTGTATGAACATTTTTTTAGTCTTATGCCTTACCCAGAATCTAAAAATACATTTAAACACATTTAGACCATTTACTGTAATCATTAATATTGGACTGTGAAGAGATTTTCAACCAGCACAAAAAAAAAATAAATTTCTGAGGACAACCTTTTTTAAAACAAAATTTTATTATTATTAAATCTGTAATATATGTTGGCAGACAATTATGTGATTTTTTTTTTTTTTTTGTGAATTACGTGAAAAATTCTAAGAATACAAAGTTGAAAAGAACAATGTTTATGTGTAACAGATTTTTGTAGCAAATTAAACATTACTTTTTACTTAAAGACTTATTAATCAATGCATCCTTGCTAAATAAAATAATTATTAGCGTGCATATTGTTATATTATGAAAACTACAAAAAGGTTTCAGTAGCCGTTTCATTGATTCAAGTGGCATGTTTACCCAGTCCCACTCTCTGGGTCAGTGTCAATCCCCTTATTGATCACACGTGTCAAAAGTTCAATATTTCTATACACACGTTGACCACCCCACTCGCTCTCACCACAGCAGGCGCTGAAAGACCCATATCAGTGGAACACTAATGAGCAAGAGCGCTGATAGTGCATGCAGTAACTGAAGCAGAATCACCTGAACAGTGGCCTGAAGTGTTTGAGGCTGCTGAGGCTGAGACACAAGAGATGTTCCCATCGTCTGTCCTGTGGTCTGAGAACTCATCGACTGAACACACAAACACAAGAGTAAACAGCCTGAACAGAGACAAACTACACATATTCTTTAGTAATATAATCATTTGATTAGTTATCTAGCAATTACAATATTTGCAGTATTTCACAGAATTTTCTATTATTTATTTTTTATTTTTTTGTAATCTGAAAGCAACTTCGATAAAAGTAATTAAAGAGGCCAAATGCAAAAAAAAAAAAAAAAAGTACTAAATTTGATATTAAGGCAAAATTTCCTCCGCTCTATATGAATTGTTTGTTTTGTTTTTCTTTTAGAACTACATTGAGTATTTAAAACTGCTGTATTAGCTGCAAATGAAGAAGTGTGAAAAGACGGATTTCAAAAGTAAATAATTGTTTTGACCCCTATTTTAAATACACAAAACCAAACAATTTATGGAATCTGAAGGCTTCTCTGCAGTTGAACTGTTCAGGGCAAACAAGGTACTCATGAATACCAATGGAAAACAAAAAAACGAGTTGAGGGTCATTCAGAGAACAACACCTTTTTAGGAATCAAGTGTATGTAAACTTTCTAACGAGACCGTTTTTATAAATTCAACTATTATTTTCTCTTTGATGTCAAGTATTCGCGACAGTATAAACTAATAAATAAGAAGCATTTTTGTATAAAATGATAAACATTGTGTAGATTCTGCAAGGTAGAATGTTAACTTCTGACTTCAACTTTACATACTAAATCGTATTTAGTTTATATTTTACAGAAGTTGTGTCCCAAAGGACACACCACACACTATGCACTTTTACACTGAAACATGTAGTTTATGATTTTAGTGCCATCCCAAACAGAACACTAACATTTTAACATTCAATGTTTAACAGTTGCTAAATTACTGAAATATATGACCAAACCAACAAATAGTAACATTACCTGTCATGAGTACACATGCATTCACCATTTGGAGGCAGCATAATTGCTTAAGTAGGACAATTTTGTATGCACAACCCAAAATAAATAAAATAATTCAACATTACTGCCTGATAGCTCCTTTTCTTCCACTATGTGAAAAATGTTGCAATCATTGTGTTTAACAAAACTCTTTTACACTTTTTATCGATTAAATAAGAACATTATCCAGGTATTTAAAATACTTTATCATTTTCAGAGTGAATGCACTATTTACACCATTTATACTACAAACTGGCATTAAAATATGTGTTTTTTTATTACACAAACCATCAGGAACATAAATACAACAACACAATATAAAAGCTGCGATATAAACATAAAAACTAGTATAATTGACCTATTCTTCAAGGCGGAAGTGTGCTCGTTTTTGCGATTGTATTAGAACTTCCAATTCAGTTACCTTTGGGAGAAATGACTAGGAATAATAAACGGCAGAAAATGATCAAACTACTCACTTTTTAAACAAGTGTGTGCATGACTATACAGACAAAATAGAATAATATACTAAGAAAATATCAGTTTGCAACATCAAGCAGCAAAACGAGCTGTTTTTAACATGGATAAATGAATGGAAGTGAATGAGACCGGAAGTCTCGTGTACGGAGAATAAGATGAATAATGATGAAATTAAATAAATAAATGTATAAAATCTACAAAGCATAATGTACAGCATTTCTACATTCAATAATTTTAAGAATTAATAGAGGAATAAAAAAAAAACTATTAATACTATAATAATTGTATACATATGTCAAACTGTTTGCTTTTTAACAATTTCACAGTAGAAATAATAAAATCAAAATCAATACAAAAAATTGTTAACGTGAGAGATGAGTGTGTATGTGAAAGTTTGCCAATAAAATAAAGAGATTAACAATATATTCAAGACTTTTGTTGGATTTGTTTTCATAATAAAAAAAAAGAATATTTTTTAATGTAAAATAATAACCAAGTTTTGTGATGTTAAAAATATATTTTACTAGATCCTTCCAGAACTGTTTACAACACTGTATTCAAATAATAAATGACAAAGGCTCTCTTTATTTGCCTTACAGAAACTACAGATGTTAATCATGTGTTTTGGGATGCACCTAGAGCATCAGTTCCCAACAGGGGGGTCCCGGCCCACAAGGGGGCCTCAGCAAGCTCTGTGGGGGTTTTAATTATTTTAGCAGTGGACAATTAGGAGAACGATCATGTTGCCTTAGTTCATTTTATCCCCTGGCTGACCAAAAAATTGACAAAATTGTAATTCATCCTCCAGAAAAAAGACAGAGTCTTTCTGATTCACCTTCAGCAGCTATGCTGGACCCATGTGAGGAAGCTCCAAACATTTTGGGTTGCAGTGCTAGCAATACTGGAAACACGAAATGCAGGAAATACCAATTGTTATCTGAATTATGGTTTTGTTTCATTTTCTTCTTGAACCAAAGAGTCCCGACCCGACAAAGTGCATTATCTGTGCCAAGTTCTTGCTACTAATATACATGAGGTCATCCAAGTGAATAAGACATTTGCAGATGACTCATCCAAAATACCGCAAAATGTACCCATTACAAATGGCCTACTGATGTTTTGCTTTTATATTTCACATTAGGCTATTATCTAGATAAAGTAATAAACATACCTATTGTTTGAAAACCACTTTTTTGTCATATCTACTGCAAACTTTTAATATATGAGTGTAAATATCATTAAATGTGGGCCTTACAATATTTTTCAGGGGGAAAGGGGGTCTTAAAAAAGGTTGGGAACCAAGTGATGATGACAAGAACTAACCTGACTGCTAATGGAGGACCTCCGCTGTGATGTCATCTCAATGGCTGACACTGATTGGCGAGGTGGTGTGCTGCGATCTGTCTGCAGCTTGGTCTGTGTGGCTACAGACAAATAAACACACATAAGTTAGTAACACTATTAAAATATGTCTGTATGTGTGTATGCATTGTTGAGGAAGTACATACAGGTGGGGTCAGAGACAGCGGTGTGTGAGGAGGACTTGCGGGAGCTGCGTGACGAGGCTGAGGGTGTGCGGCTGTGATCGAATCGCTCTAGCGCCTCCTTCAAGCTGGAGGTGTTCAACTGAGACTCGGAGCCAGAGTCCTGAGACTGAGCAGAGCAAAACAGTGTTAAAAGATTGTTCTTTAAGTTAAGATCAACTGCGTCATACTATGTTGATTACCACAGAAATAAAAAAGGTAATGGAAAAGTTTGATTAATATCATATGTTTAAAAATGATTATGTCAAATGTTTTAATGCAATTAACATACATTTGTAAATGGAAAAAAAGAAAAAGACAAAAATAACGAAAGGAAAAAAATGTGTATTTTAAAACATGTACAAAAATAAATTCATATACAGTATACAGTTGAAGTCAGATTTATTAGCCCCACTTTGATTTATTTTTTTGTTTTTTCTTTTTTTTAAATATTCCCCAAATTATGTTTCACAGAGCAAGGAAATTTTTCACAGTATGTCTGATAATATTTTTTCTTTTTATACAAGTTTTATTTGTTTTATTTCGGCTAAAACAAAAGCAGTTTTAATTTTTTTTTAAAAACATTTTAAGGTCAAAATTATTAGCCCCTCTGAGCTATATATTTTTCAATAGTCAACAAAACAAACCATCATCATACAATAACTTGCCTAATTAACTTTATTAACCTAGTTAAGCCTTTAAATGTCACTTTAAAGCTGTATAGAAGTGTCTTGAAAAATATCTAGTCAAATATTATTAACTGTCATCATGGCAAAGATTAAATAAATCAGTTATTAGAAGTGAGTTATTAAAACTATTATGATTAGAAATGTGTTGAAAAATCTCTCCATTAAACAGAAACTGGAAAAAAAAATAAACAAACAAACAGAGGGGCTAAAAATGTAGGGCTTCAACTGTACATATAATATTGATAGTAAATGTTATTTATCTCTCATATAAGGTGGATAAAATAATTACAAATTGAATATATAATAAATAAAATATAGTATAATATAGTAAAATATAGTAAAATATAAGTGTATTAAGTTATAAAAATACACAAATATGTCCCTCAATATAAAATATTATAAATGTAATATTAACATAACAGTATAATAGGAAATAAATAAAAAATAAAAATATAAATTTGTACAAAAATAACTTCTGATTTTGTGAATATTCACTATATTTAGTAGGTTAATTAGGATTCACCTTGTCTGCGGAGATCTCAGGAGGTGATTCTTCAATGCCCAGCTCTCTGCGCTGTTCAGCTCTCACTTCAGCATAACTGAGACACAAAAAAACATCCTTTATAAAACAAATACTACAAGAAGATGCTCAGTAAACAGCAGTGCCATATCCTGCTTTTATCACATGCCTAATTACGATTCAGTGTAAAACCACTACCAGAAAAACAGCAGTTTACAATAAAAAAAACAACAACAAGATGTAAGGATTTTTCCAAAAGCAAATTGTTTAAAGTACAAGTAAAGTGTTTAAAATACTTTGTAGAGTGTGCTTTGTGTTGTAACCTTGGGTTTGGTCTGTCATCGATAACTAAATAAGTCCTGAAACTACCAATAGGTGGCAGCCTTAATGAGGGATTCATTGAATTTTTCGATCAAATGATTCCTTTAAAATGGCAGATTCGTTTAGAAACCAGTTTAATTGATCTTTATTTCTATAGCACTTTTACAATATAGATATATATATTACAATGTAGATATATTAAATTGAAACTGCTTTAATCCAGTTTTCAGAGCTGAAGTTTGGTTTAATTCAGTTTAGTGTAGTTTTAATTTAAAAACCAAGCAAGTGACTCCTAAGAGACAAAATGCTTATGGTTTTATTGTGGTTATATGTTTATTTTATTGTTTTTCAAAGTGAGTGATATACACTGAGTGATCTATTTGTATAATAACAACAATGACAATATCATCTGACCTAGATAATAGCTTCTGTTGCCATCTAGCTTCTAGTACGTTTCATGTGATGAGCGTAATGAATCAGCGAGTCTCACCTGACCACCGTGTGAGTGCAGACGATGAACTCTGGCCTTGAGTTCCACTGGTGGTAGGTGATGTAGTAGTGCGTCTGAAGCCAGATCCACTGCTGACCTTTAGTCAGAAAACGGTAATAGCACGACTTCCCCTTACCGTACTGCATCACTGCAGAGAGAGAGACAACGGGAGAGATGTTAATAAGTCTAAACTCAAAACTGAGAAAACTCCAGTAGACAAAAAGCAGTTCAGCTTACAGTGTTCGTGGCATTTGGCCAGAGTCTCCAGGTCGTCCACATGATAGTAGTCGTACCCTGAAGTACCCAGAACCTCAAACGGCAGGTAACCAATGATAGGAGGCGCCCTGTGGAGATAAACACACATGAATTCACATTATCTGCATAGGTGTTCCTTTTCTCAAAATGTAGGTACTGTATAGACATGTCCACTGAATTCAAGGGAAATAATTCTATTACAGTTAAATAATATTAAACATTTGACTCCTACACTGCAAACTTATTAGAATCATTCATTCATTCATTTTCTTTTTGGCTTAGATCCTTTATTAATTTGGGGTCGCCACAGTGGAATGAACCGCTAACTTCAGCCGTTTCACGCAGCGAATGCCCTTCCAGCTGCAACCAATCACTGGGCAACAATTATACACTCTCATTCATACACATACACTTTTGACAATTTAGCTTATCCAATTAACCTGTACCGCATGTCTTTGGACATGTGGGGGAAACCAGAGCACCTGGAGGAAACCCACATGAACACAAGGAGAACATGCAAACTCCACACAGAAATCATCTTCACCACACAGAATCATGTTCTTGAAATATAAAAAAAAATGAAAGCTCAGAATAAAAACAAATGTGAATAAATCTAATAAATAAAATAGAATCAGATTTACTAAATTATATATATATATATATATATATATATATATATATATATATATATATATAATAAATAAAATAAAACGACATTTGTCAATTGCTCAGTATAAAAATAAATATGAAATCATTTACCGAATAAAATAATTTCAGAATAATCAAAATATATAGAATAAATAAAATAAAATAAAAATAAAACAGCATTTGTCAAATGCCACTTTTGTCCCATGATAAAAATGTGTTAAAGCTACTAGTTATGTTCCCTTCAAGTTAAAGCAACAGTAATACAGTTATCTTTAAATGTGTTATGATTGATTGAACTGTAGTGATTCTTATGAATCTGTAAAGTTATAATCTACTAATTTCTGTCTGATTACTTTGTCAGTTTACTCATAAGTTTAAGTTCGAACACCTCAAAAAAACAAAAAAAAAACGCAAGTTGTACTTAACAGTAATGTTTAACTGCTAACAGATATTAGGAGAAACATAAGATTTTGAGAACTCCTATGACATCTACATCCCAGTCTCATTTTGAAACAAATCTTCAGGCATTCCTTGCGTCATATGCAACTGTTTTGGGATAAGAAAAAGCTCAGAAAACACCATAAGTGCCACCAGCTACTGCTAAACAACTGATAATGTGGAAAAACTTATTCGATCGCTTTGTATCCCGCATCTGTTCAGATTAAACGGAATGCCTGATTTCAACTAAATATAGAGAAGCATCAGCGCCACAAGCCATTTTCTAAAACGGCTTGCCTAAATTCAGTATAAACCTTTCAAATCATAATGGCATTAGAGTTTTATACAGAAAGTGATGTTCATGCTTAAAGTGTTGGTGCCTGTGGGCTGAATGTGAGCTCTTAATACAGCACGCTAAGCTTGTGCAACAAACATGTCTTTTTTACATTTTTTTTATGAAACCGGTCTCAATAGTGTCTGTGGCTATCACAGGCTTAGACAGACAGTGTAGGATTTCAAAGACTTAACATAAACGTCAGTTTCATTGTCTCTAACAAAGGTCACTGTGTCAGGCTATTTCCAGATTTTGTCTAAAATTTTATTTATTGATTTTTATTTGGACAAGAAACAAGCCAAACTACATGTTGGTTCCTGGCCAGTCATAGCTCACTGTCTTTAACAACATGTATGATGTTATTAAGAAGGCAAAACTAGCAACTCACTCCTGGAAACAGGAGCGTAAACAAACTGAAACATAAGTAGGGTGTTTTCCCAGCAAACACAAAATGTTTTTCTACTGTTAGTATTTAATTATTTTTTTTTAAACTAAAGTAATGTTCTAGGAAACTCTATTTTAGGTTCGACTTTTTGCAACCACAAAATAGTTTCCAGAAGGTTGCAGGAAGTTTTTTTATTTATTTTATTCTAACAGAACATTCCCTATTGGACTTATAGTTTTAGCATATACACTACTGGTTAAAGGTTTGGGGTATTTTATAGTGTAATAACATTTTACTATCTTACAATTTGTACTGTATTCTTGATAAAATAAATGCTCTGGTGAGCAGAAGCTTATGTTAAAACATTTAAAAATCAAACTGACCCCAAACTTTTGACCGATACTGTACGTATATAGTTTTTCTTATATACTGTAATAGCCTCAGTGTAAAAAACATCTGTTCATTAACAGTTTCTGTTTATTTATGGTTGTGAATTGCATTATAGGAACTCCTTGATCTCTGCTTTGCTGACTTTTGATGTTGAAAACTCAACTTTACAGTTTAACAAAGTGACTAATATTGACATTTCAGTAGTTCAAAATATTTTAATGTATAAGAAATAATAGGGCGTGACGGTGGCGCAGTGGGTAGCACGATAGTCTCACAGCAAGAAGGTCCCTGGTTCAAGCCTCGGCTGGGTCAGTTGACATTTCTGTGTGGAGTTTGCATGTTCTCCCCATGTTCGTGTGAGTTTCCTCCAGGTGCTCCAGTTTCCCCCCACAGTCCAAAGACATGCGCTTTAGGTGAACAGCGTAAGCCAAATGAATGAGTGTGTATGGATGTTTCTCAGTTATGAGAAGCAGCTTTAAGGGCATCTGCTGCGTAAACCATATGCTGGATAAGTTGACGGTTCATACCGCTGTGGTGAACCCAGATTAATAAAGGGACTAAGCCAAAAAATAAAATGAATGAATAAATAAATGAATGAATAATAAATAATATATAGCGAAGTCTGTAAAAAAGCAGAAAATGTTCTGACAGTTTATTACAAGGATTTTGTACCATAATATACAATCCCAAATCAGACAGTATACAGCTTTAAATTATTAAGACGGTTAATAAAAAGTCTGTTTAAGGTTAAACATTTTTGGAAAAAAGATCAAGGTCCCATAACGCAATTCAAAAGCATAAATAAAAAAACAAAAACTTAAATCGCAAAATACGAAGAACTGCTAATTCATGCTTATTATATTTTTGTATCATTCAGTATTACAGTATGAAAAATCCATTCTGAAACTACATTCAACAGCCATTATCATCATCATAATCATCAAAAGGTATTGGTTTGGTTTTGCAAAAGGGCCTTAATATTTGTTAATTTTACCGTAACCACAGTTGCAAAATCACATCAGTCAGTGAGATGCAAAAAAAAAAAAAATTTGTATGTATTCTGCATGTTTTATTGGTATTTTAATACACAAGTATTGTATTTTTGCTTGTGTTTGAGTGTTTTATAGTTTTAGAAAATAAGTGTATGTTGTGGTGTCACGGTGGAGCAGTGGGTAGCACAATTGCCTCACAGCAAGAAGGTCGCTGGATCGAGCCCCAGCTGGGTTAGTTGGCATTTTCTGTGTGGATGTTTGCTCTGGGTGCTCCGGTTACCTCCACAGTCCAAAGACATGCGGTACAGGTTAATTGAATAAGCTAAATTGGCCATAGAGTATGTGTGTGAATGCAAGAGTGTATGGGAGTTTCCCAGTATTGGGTTGCAACTGGAAGGGCAGCCGCTGTGTAAAAACCATGCGCTGGATAAGTCGGCTGTTCATTCCACTGTGGCGACCCCTGATTAATAAAGGGACGAAGCAAAAGGAAAATAAATGAATGGATGAAATATATGTTGTAAATAACTATAACCTGTAGTAGTAGCTTGAAACCGAAATAAACAGCGAAGAAGAAGACTTTTCAACACTAAAAAGGCAATGTGTGTGCCTTACAATGAGCACACAATACCACAAAAACAATGTTGCGTTTGTACCTGTGGTCCAAGAAGAGGAATTTCCACTCTAAACTGTGTCTGGAGGTGAATTCCTCATTGGGCTCCTCCACAGTACACATTTCCTGCCGAACAGAAGTTATAAACAAAACCATCCTTACTTCCAAGCATGTTGACCAGACAAAAAAAAACATCAACAAAAAAAACAGAACAGAAACCAAGTGACCTACTTCTCACACTGAGTGTATTTGCAAGCTGGTCATTTATCAGTGTCTTCAAAAACAAAGCTAATTCTTGCACAAACATGTACAGTGTCTATCAATACACCCACACACACGCACACAGGTGTACAGACATACACACACGCACACATACACCGATCTCAATGACTGTCAGACTAATGCTAAAAGTCACAGGACCAATGAGAAGGTGCCAAGTCATCTTTGGCTCGGCCTACCTTGATAAACTGAGGTTTGGCTAGCCTGACCGTCGCTATGAAACACACTCGGTCTTCAAACGCGTGTCGCAGCGATCGCTGGATCACTCCCTCAAAGCCGTTTCGTGTTGAGTTAGGCACTGCAGAGAAAAACAAGACACACATCTTTAGAAATGAAGGCTTTTTAGGGGGGGAAATGTTGAAAAAGGCTATTCTGTACCACTAGAGGGCGATAACCTCGTTGCTAATTGCTAAATGTTCATTCATTCAGGCTTTTAAAACACTTCTTGTTTAAAACCATGGTTAAAACAGTAGGTTCATGCAGAGTTAATTGTAAGACAACTGTTAAAAAACTGTTAAAATCAGTCCATGTTTTGTAATATTAAATCAATAATTTGTTATAGTCACTGATCTTTGTTTGTTTATTTTCACTAAACATGCTAATCTGCTTTAGGGACAGCTATGGAAAGAATAAGTTAGAGGAAATTCTCAGTTTCTCTTGATTTACTGTATTTTTTACGTATAGGTTAGAATAAAATGTTTGTTTATATTTTGGAGAATGACTATTGATCGAATAATAAATGTTTTCATTAAATTGAAAATCGGGGTTATAATTAAAGGTTAAAATATTGTATTCTTAACTCTTCAGTAGTTGAAATGTTGAAACTGATTTGTTTAAAAATGTACACAAACATTTCAAAATGAAATTATAAAAAATCTAAATGACAACAAAAATATCAACAATCTGCAAAAATAATGAACAGTTAGACCTTTCAGCAGTGATATTAATAAAAAATGCTTCTATAACACAGCGTTTACATATTATTGATCTATGAAAAATAAACAGCATAATATTAATTAGGGATTCTTCGATCAGGATTTGTTCAGCTGATACAGAGTACTGATTCCTAGTCATGGTGATCAGCCGATACAGAGTACTGATTGTGATGCTTCAAGCTTTATAATGCATAAAGCACATTTTCCCTCCAAGTATAAGACATAAGTGTAGATCTCACTTTACCCAAGATAATAAATTAAGAATGCTGCATTTAATCTTCTAAACACGTCTCTTATAACTATTATAAGCATTTATTTATTATAAGGGCCTACTCACACTATGCCATCCATACCGTGCCTAGGCCCGTTTCCCAGGTCGTTTGAGAAGTGTGAGTGCGCTGAGTCAGGCTCAAGCACGGTTCACTTGGCCGGGCCTGGCCCGGTTGGAAGAGGTGTGCCTGAGCGCGGTTAACTTGGGCTTTGGCGCGGTACGCTTGTGTGTGAGTGCAAAACGCGCCAAAGCCCGAAACTGAAAGCGAGACGTGACTTTTAAGGGACTGTTTCATATAGATTTATTAATCATTCTTACTGTTTAGTGAACGCAAACTGCCGTCGTTTATTAAAGACGCAAACACCTCAGTTCACGACAGCTGCGTGGCTTCAGCAGACCTCCTCATTCCTGCAGCACGAGAGCTTAATGATTGTTTATGAGCGCCAAAAGTGGCGGATCTGTACGGCGAAATATCTGACTGAGTGTCCCTGCATCCCTAAGGACTGTTTGGCGAAATATTTGACGGCATATCAAACGACTGAAACGATATAACTAGAGAAATCTCCACTGTGCTGCTGAGTGAGAGAGCGCTTCTCACTGAACAGCCCAACAGCGATGACGTAAGCGCGCCGAAGCCCGTTTGTGGTGTGAGTGCGGGCCGTCGGGGGAGACGGGAGGGGGGACAAGCGTGCTTTGGCCCGGTTCGAGGCAACTGTACCTAGTGTGAGTACGGCCTAAGTATAGACCGGGGTGGCCAACCCTGTTCCTGGAGAGCCACCTTCCTGCAGATTTCAGTTGCAACCCATATCAAACACACCTGCCTGTAATTATCACGTGATGTTCAGGTCCTAATTAATTGGTTCAGGTGAGTTTGATATGGGTAGCAACTAAAATCTGCAGGAACGTGGCTCTCCAGGAACAGGGTTGGCCACCCCTGGTATAGACTATTTCAATGTGGTCATGTCATTGGCCCTTGAACATTTCATAAGTGTAACAAGAGGCGATTCAATAATAACTTAATGTTAAAACAGCGATCATGACATTATTAATCAGTATGTGACTCTTTTTGAATTCTCAGAAGCTATAGAGATTAAAAATGCAAAACAGGAAATACGTTGGGACCAGTGTTTTTGTTTATACCCCTCAAAATGGTGTTTATTACAAGTATTTGTAAGTGATTATAATTAAAAGACTAACGATGCAATTTGCAAACATTGATGGAAGAAAAATTCAACAAGTCTCTTAATTAAGAAAACGTTTGGAGCATGAGAAGATGCATAAGAAGTTAAAATGTAAACCTATAAATCCATTACTTCTTTACTGAATGGAAATTGGTCTATAAACTACTGGGTCACACTTTACAATAAGGTTGATTAGTTAATGCATTTACTAACAGGAGTTAATTATGAATTAATCATAATTCATCATTTACTGATGCATTATTAGCATCCAAGTTCTTGCTTGTTAATATTAGTTAATGCACCATGAGTTAACATGAACTAACAACTCTGTTTTCATTAACTAATGTTAACTAACATGATCAAATACTGTAGTTAATGTATCGTTCATTGTTTGTTCATGTTAGTAAATGCATTAACTAACATTAATTTATACAACCTTATTGTAAAGTATTACCAACTACTGTTTATTGTAACAAGTAAATTACAAAAAGTTATATTATTAAATATTTATTTTAAAACAAGTGATTAATTTTTTTTTTTTAAATGTATTTAATATTTTCTGCTAGGTTTTAGTGAACTTGCAATACTGTCAAAAACACAGAACGTTTAGTTTTTATATGCATCTCATCTCCAACTAACACAAATACTTGTGACCGGTTCATGAGATCAGCCAGATCAGTGAGTAACAATCGAGTTATTAAATGTGATTATCAACCGATACAGATCTTTGGCAGATCGATCAGAGCATCCCTAATATTAGCCACAACAAGCTAAAGAAATCAAAATGCCAAGTCAAAACTATATTAATGCATTATTAAGTATCTAAAGTGTGCAAAATACTTCATATTAATAAGCATCTAAAAGATTCATTAATACACTTGAAAACAAAACTCACTTATGAAAACCAGAAGTACATGATCTAATTTAATAAAATTATGTTGAGTTTTATTTTTATTGTTGTTGAAAACACTTGAAAGCAATTTCTCCAGCAATCTAATTACAAGATAAAATTTAATTAAACTGTTTTCCTATATTTATTAATTCTGTATTAAATCTGTAATGGTTAAAATGTTTACATAATCATGTATAAACTATAATTAAGTCAATTTTAGTAGGTTGATTTTCTAGAAAATCTGAACACAGCAGCTCTGTAGGTAGAAACAACACACCGTTTGATAGTCCCAAGCAGCTATCACTATATGAATTCAGGACAGGACATTCTGCTTGAGCAAATAACAGCTGTGTAAAAACATAACTCTCATTCATTATTTTTTGCACTTATATTCTTCAACACTGGTCTAATTACACACTTCACCACAAAACATTCAACTTCCAGTCTTAAAATCTGGGTCAGAAGCCTGTTCCTCTGGCTTTTCTTTGCAGCGCTTCCTTTTTAAATAACGATGCTTGCTCCTGCCACTCTCATAAGAAGCACAAGCAATCAAGCACTTGGCTGGATAATTCAATAAACAGATCCACATGAAAGGCTGGCGCTGCTTCTGACACTCACCAGTGTTGAGGGACTTAAAGTTTCCGATGAACTTGACATATTCATAAACGGGCGGCTCTTTGGGGTCGATGGTGCCCCGGAGCATGTGGCAACAAAACTCCAACTGGTTCTTTGCTGCAGGGAAGCGAACGCAACAAAACAAAAACAAGAAAACAACATTAACAAGCTGCAGCTTAGTGATCGGTGCTCATAGAAATGAGACAATAGCAGGGAGAGGTACTGAAGGAAGCTGAATGAGAATGCTAAGAATGATTTGATCATGAGGAGATCATTTCTAATATTTTTTCATTTTTCGAATAAAAATGTTTTGAGTCATTGCAAAGTTTAATCAAAAGCTGCATCCCAAATGACACACTATACACTTATGCATGTACTTATGGACTTACACACTCAGCAGCATAGTATATGAACACAGCGTCGTCCCAAATGGAACACCAATGTTTTTTTTCAAACGGTTTCTCTGATGGCGTTTGACGGTTGCCAAATTAGTAAAATAAATGACCAAACTACCAAACAATACCTGTCGTGAGTATAACCACATTCACCATGGGGGACGATATAACCACTCTTGTTGGCGAATTTTGCTCTTACAATCTAAAATAAAAGCTCCGCCCTTTCTACTACATGAGCAAAGCTGCGGTCGTTGATTGAGTGATGTGTCCATCATTCCACACTTCATTTTAAGGGCTGAATTAGTGCAAATACCCCATTGATTAGAATAACAGATTTTTTCTTCTGTTGTGATTAAAAAATGTGATTTCTCAACTACTCTGAAGTTAAACATCAGTGTCATGTTGTCTAAAAATGAATATAAACATGTCTGAAAAAATGGCACCATTTTATGCTAAATAATTAAATAAGTTGGGAAGAAATGTCATCATCAAAACACATTTAATGAGCTCTAGTCTTGTGATTGTGCTCACAGAAATCCAACAACAACACAGAATAAATGAAGCTGAATAAGTACGAAACTAAATATTTGGTCATGAGGAAAAAGAGATAAATGGGTCTTACTCTTTAGGTAGTCTGGGGTGAGGGTTTCTCCCTCCAACATGTGTGTTGACAGAGCTTTATACACCTCCGAATGCTCACCCAGTGGAAGGAAATTCAACAGGTTCTGATCCACAAGATCAGACTGAAACAGAACCACAGCAGAAATCTTCAGTATCTCTCTTACACAACAAAAGCAATGCATGGGAGATGGTACTTTGCACACAATGTATGTTTATTTTTTCAGAATTTTAAGAGATATAACTATTTTCATGCTGTATGATCAATATGGACTGCTATTACCAAAGTTCATTTAAAGCTTGTAAACACGGGCACAATTAATGCATTTGTTAATCACTGATGTTGATTTTTATTGTCATGACTAAAACAACAAAGAGAGCTAATGTGAGTGTGTACACCAATGAGCAAAACCACAGGCACAAGTGTCATCAAAAAAAGAAGACAAACACTTCAGGCGTGTATTTTTGGTTTGACTCTCCACATTAAAAACTCGTCAACCAACGAGATTGTTTTGATCATGTGCCTGGAGTTTCTGAAGTAAAACACAACTTGGCCGTGTTCAAGCATAATACAGTCTAGCTGAGCACACAGGAATTGCAGACCAAATAGTATTCTATGGCAAGTTTCATTTCAATTAATTTTTGTCATGGCTTGTCATTTTTTCCCACAAACGATTGACAAGGTTTTTTGTTTGCTGTAGACGAGGATTTTACCCAGAAGCGGAAAAGCTTCAATAAATACTCATGAAAAAAGGCATAAGGGTGACTTTGCAACAAACGAGTGCACAAGCCCAAAGTTGAACAGAGCCACCTTGTGCACTGGGGTATTTCTGCTTTTATTAAGTGTCCTTCAATGTCAGGAAGTAATTTTGCATATTCACTCAGCTCATTGCCAGATGAAATGGCATGGCCGTGAATGCTGAAAAACATCTTGAACAATGTTTGCAAAAAGAGCGAGTGAGAATCGTCAGTATGCACACATAGACCTTTAGTTGTGATTTCAAAACACTTTACAATAAGCTTGTTTTAGTTAATGTTAGTTAATGCATTTACTAACATTAACAAACAATGAACAATGCATTTATTACAGTATTTACAGTATTATAAGTATAAATAAGAGTATTATAAGCATATTATATAGTATAGTATTATTAATGTTAATGAAAATACAGTTTTTCCATTGCTAGTTCACGTTAACTCAAGGTACATTAACTAATGTGTAAACAAACATGAATTTGGATGTTAATAATGCATTAGTTAATGCTGAACTTTGCTTAATAAACGCTGAAAAAGTACTGTTCACAATTTGTTCATGTTAGTAAATACATTAACTGATAAAACCTTAATGTAAAACGTGACCAGATTTTTTAAAATTCATTTTGAAAAAAATGTAATTAGCAAAGATGAACTAAATTAATCAAATCGACAGCAAAGACATTTATAAAGTTAACAAAAGAAAAAAAAAAAACATCTGCTGCCAACACATTTCTAAACTGTGCAATAAATTAAATAAAAAACAGGCAACAATCCCAAGTGTTTTCAAACTCACAGGTAGATGTTCTAATAAAGACGTGACACTTTCTGAGACGTAGATTATGTTTCCATCCGTCATAATGGCCAGAAAGAAGCCATCTAGTGCCTAAAGAAATAAAGCAATAAAGAATATCAATAATTCGGTATATTTAGTAGTGTTTCCTGAATTTAGGCAAGTGTGTGTGTTGGTTTCAGTGAATAAAATCCTCACCTCCAGCATCAGCTGTGTGAACTCCTCATTGCTAAGGAAGGGTGGCTTCCAGTCCTGACGGATTTCACTCGACTCCGACTGTGCAGCAATTTCTTATGGAAAAACAATAAAATGATAAGCTTTCAGATTCTATAAAATCTAAACTAAATCTAAACATTCATAATACATTATTATAAAGGTTTCCTTCATCATAAAGTGTTTAATTTGTTAACAAATGTTCAATCAATCCATTTTAAAATGATATTATCATTTTTTTTCCTCGCATCTCTACAACCTTTTGCACAGATTGCTACATTCATACTTCAATGAGCAACCACTTTTACTATTGTCTATTGTATGAATAACGTGTGTTGAATGAATGCAGACTGATAAACATCAATACTGCTTTTGTCCCATTGATTTCAGAAACACCTACACCTACTGTATATGTTGAAAGCAAACTGGTTACATGTCGTTTTACATGTCATCTGACACCTCCCTCGTGTCAATGTGGGCAGTTCATGGCCAGGGTATATTCAAAGTAAATATTCAGTCTTGTGAGACTGACTAACAGTCAATTAAACATATATAAAACTAAAACTGCTCCTTTTTTACCCAAAGATTACTTTTAGTCAATTAAATATCCTCTATTGTGCTTTTTCAGATTTTACCTTTGCATGTTGTAGTTGCTTATGAATGTATTGAATGATCTTGAATGGAGCTACTCTCCCAAAACCAGAAAAGAACTGCGCAAATTGAGTCATCATTAAGTTCAGTCGCATTTCGTGCACAGGTAGATTTGTATTGTCTTAATTGGCTGCCCGCTAACAACATCTACATTGACCCTCAAACAGTGAAGTTATAGCTGAGGCCTGGATGAATTTGTTGACATGTCATTGTTTTCTGTTTCTTTAAAAGCAAGTGTACTTTTTGAGCAACTGCAATCGATGAATGCTTGGGCTCCAGTTGGTATGGTAAAGCCAAAGCCGTAATTTTTGTAAGAATTACTGTGTTTATAAGAGCTTAGGAAACCTCCAGAGCTGATATTCTGTGTTTCGTTTCTGACATAAAATGTATGTGGTAAACCCATCACAACAGACTGGGCTATCTGGCCAATCAGAGGATAGCAGCTCTTGGAAAGATGGGGTTTAGAGAGATTCTTTAATGAACCTTTAATGCACCCACTTTAAGCAATACTAAACTGAATGGAATTGAAAAGTTTAGATGCAAAAGACCTCTAAATGCTGTCTGAAATTGTCCTCTAAAATGAGCATTTTTATCAGGCTCCTGTGTGTATGTTCAGTAATACCAGTTTTATGGCAAAGAATAAGTCCTTTTCCTGGTCTTTAAAGTAAAATATCTCAACATAAACAAAGGAGGCTGAGAAAAATGTTCATTTTCGATGAACATTCCAGACGGCACTTAGAGGTTTTTGCATCTGAACTCTTCAATTGCAAACTGAGCCAAGCAAAACCAAACCAAACAGAGCTGAGCTGGACCAAGCCATACCATACCACACAGAGGAAAAGCACATAAAGGACCATCTTCTTACTGACACAATGTGTATCTTCACTAAACAAAGTTTATCAACTATTTCTAATGTTGAGAAGTGTTTTTTTTTTCTCCACACAATGGCAATAAAGAGCAACTTGTTGTGTTACGAGTATCTTTATTGTTTAGAGTTTAGATAGTGTTGCATTTAGCATCTTTTTGCCTCTCTTCATCTGCTTCTGGTTATTATTTACTACTACATGTGTGAATTTGTAGGTGGAACACACAGTGTTGTAGAATCAGCAACAGCATCTTCTGTGGAGTTGGAGTTTACACACACTACACACCCTTAAGTGACAGAAAAATTTGTTCGATTATAAGTTCTGAATGTTGATTTCGATTACTTTTCGATTAATCACCCAGCCCTAGTTCGACCTGCCGGTCAAAATGTGCAAACCTCTGCACACAAACTGTTGGCACAAACAGGTCACATCATCAGCATGATCCCACTATGCAGATTGATAAGACGCGAGTCCACTGAAACGGTTAAAATTGCCTGCGATCTTCCAAATATGTTCAACTTGAGAGCTCTTCTACAGAGCTGCATTTAACTTAAGTTCAGAGTCGAATATTTGAATATTCTTGTCACTTCTGGTCTCAGATCAGCCTGTGGGCGATCATGTGTTTTGGAGAAGATGTGACTTTGAGCATTGATTATACACAGTACAACATTTGACATTGGTTAAACTTACAAACTCAAGTTCACCAGCTGCCTTGAAAATGTGAGTCAACTCAAGAGAGACTCTTTGTTTACAACTAAAGATGTTGAGTTTTAGTTGATATATGTCAGCTGATGAACGTGAGTTTGTAAGTTTAACCAAGTAAAACGTTTTACAGTGTACAGGGAGGTCCAGATCTTGATCTTTAACAGCTGCTAGATACTTTGAATTCGCCCACCCTATTTTTATGTATACTTAAATTTTCCAAATGATAAACAATAATTGTTATGCAACAAGAGTAACCTTTGTGCTTGCGCAGGAAGTCGATGCTCTTCTGTAGGATGGTAGACTTGTCCATCTTGCGGGTGTTGCCCGGCAACATGGTGCCCAGTTCCTTGATGAGCACATTGAACTGGTCTCGCCTCTTCTTCTCCGACCTATTTCTAGAAACTCTATAGAAAGATGAGAAAAATCAAAAACAAAAAGGTGGAAAATTCAACAATGGAAGCCAATTGTAGACTTTAAGATAATAGGATGATAGCATAATTCCATTGCTATTGCAGAAGCTTTCAAAGTCACAGTCGAGCTCTATCTAATCTCAGAGGAATCCAGCAATGCTGAGAGAAACCATTTCACGGTGTGGTGATTGTATACAGACGACGAGGGTGAAGGCGTACGCTCAGGTTTAAACAGTCATAACTAGGTCACACTTAAGTTTCTATTCCCGGTGCAAAAAACCACTTCAGATCCTCTACCACGAAAAAGGACTTGTCTATACAATCATCTAGTGTAATGAATCATGTTTAAACCACTCTTGCATGAGATAATGGAATACGCCAATATATCACAAAAAGAGTTCAGCTCAGGACAAGACAAAGGATATCGCTGTGAGCAATTAAAATCATAAAGTTTTACTTGTATAATCACCTTTTTGCTTTGTCCTTCTCATCTTCTTCCATCAACCCATCAAAGATACTGCTGTCATCCCTGAAAGAGAGCAAAATTAAGAGTAGTTAGACTAGCTTGCCCAAATTCAACCAATCAACGACAGTGTTTGTGATCATAACAGCTTTAACTGTGATAAAATTCCAGTGAACTGACAGAAATTCCCATGCCAACCCAATCAGTTCATATTTGAAGCTGTTAAACATTATTTTAATAGACTGTTCCCCAATATGCAATAGTGAGGGACTCAAGCTTTTTAAAATGTCATACAAAATCTTGAAAGAGTCTAGTGATTCAACTAAAGTAAAAAAGTTTTTAGTATTACTGATATATTGATATATTCATGTTTAACTTTTTGTTTTCAGCTGAACTTTCTTTTTCATATTCTGTTAATTTTAGATACCCCTTTGCATTTTTGTGTGTTTTTTTTCATATTTTGAATATACAATTGAGTTTAAATTATTGGCCACCTTTTGATTTTTTTTTCTTTTTTAAAACTTTCCCAAATTCTGTTTAACAGAGCAAAGACATTTTCACAGTATGTCTGATAATGTTTTTTCTTCTGGAAAATTTTTTTTTTTTATTTCACCTAGAATAAAAGCAGTTTTAAATTTGTATAGAAGTGTCTTGAAAAATATCCAGTCAAATATTATTAACTGTCATCATAGCAAAGATAAAATAAATCAGTTATTAAAAATCAGTTATTAAAACTATTATGTTTAGATATGTTTTGGAAAAAAAAATCTTCTCTCTACTAAACAGAAATTTGGGAACAAATTAAACAGGGGGCGAATAATTCTGACTTTAACTCTATTTGTAGCTAGACAGTCAATCTCGAAATTATTCATACCACTGGAGTATGTAGTATTTTTTGCAGTGTTGGTTTTATTTTATAACATACTGTTATTTTAGCTACTTTAAAAAAAATACATAAAAGGAACAGTTCAAACATCCACAAATCATCACTTTATTTCAGGTTTTTCCTTCAATCAACACTTATGCTTGAAAAATATATAATTGAAATTATAATTTCATTATGAATTACAAATCAGAAAACTAACCCACATTAATGGAGAGCTTTAATCCAAGTCTTCTGAAAATACATTTTTTCAAACAACTGGCTAAATGGACAAAAATAAGGCTAATGCTTTACATATTGTTCAATTTCCTGCACAAACTGATTGTTTCATTTCATAAGGCCTCAATGTGTTATTACCAATAGCAATGCATATTTGTTTAGTTTTGTCTGTATGTTTTTTACTCATAGATATGCCCACATGGAATCTGCGTGCAGAGAAATCTGGAGATTTCCGGAAATTTTTAGCCCATTATCGAGTCATTTACTAACTTGTGTAAATGAGTGTTAATTAATATTTATTCAGTTTTTAAATTTCAGTAATATTATTGACTAATATGAAAATGTTCATATGATTTATTTACGATACCTTTTATAAAGTCATATTTTCTCTCTTTAAGTAGATATATTTTATATGAGAGAGTTGCTTTGTTTACCAAATAAGTGGATCTAGATGGTTTTGCAGTGTAAACATTTGATAAAAGTTCAAAATGCATGCTTTATTATTATTATTATTACTACATATATTAAGTTTTTAGTTATGATACACCCAAAATAATTCCACATAAATCCGAAGACTTTAACAAAATTCTCGGCAGAAATAGCAAAAAATGTCAGCAGATTCTGTCTGGCCATACTCATAGAACATTGAAGAGCAATTTAAAGCCTAGCTAGGATAATTAGGTTAACTAGGGAAGTTTGGTTAATTGGGCAAGTCATTGGACAAAACTTATTTGTTCTGTAGATGGAAAATCCCCCCCAAAAAATAAAACATTTTAAAGGAGCTAATAAAACTTGCCTTAGCAGTTTTTCAATTAATATTCCAACCAAACTAAACGATATAAGACCTTCTCCAGATGACATATATAATAGGAAATACTCTAAAAAAGCAATACTTGGGGAAATATTTGAGGGGGAAAAAAACTGACATTTTACAAAAGGCCTAATAATTTTATCTTGACTGTACATCTTTGATGGCCAGAGGATGAGTAAATTAACAGCGAATCTTTATCTCTGAGTGAATAATCGGATTAATGGGGGAACATAAACATGATTCAACCAAGAAAATGCCAAGCTGTTTCTTTTGGCTTCCCACAGTATTATTAATCATAACCAGGTCAGGCAATAAATCATTGATTGAGCAGGCAGTAGGTCAGTGGTGGAGGTGGCAGTGAGAGGCGGATATAAAGGCCTGTAGGGGCGCTGTGTATGTGTGTGTGTGTGTCAGTATATATTTAGACAGTCAGTGTTCTCTGACTCAGCTGCTTTGAGAGCACAAGACAGAAAGCGAGACCAGCTGGTCATGGCAGCAGATCTAAGGACAGTTTGTGACGGACGTGATTTGGGTTTGATTTCACAACTGATGTCATAGCAGCTTCTCAAAGCAGTGTGGCTTTGGAAAGACACAAGGCAGAGTAAATGCCAGCTTACATCTATGATTTTTTTTTAAGGTCATCTCAAAACGAAATGACAGTCGCTCTGTCGTTTGTAGCCCTGAGATAATTGGTCATTTGCACAGGGTGTGTGGACATGTGTCTGTCTCGGTTATAGCAGAGATCACAATGACCTTTCATGCATTGTGTGCAGGTAGAGTGAATGAGCGTTTTTAGGGATGGAAGGCAAACAAATGAGAGTATATTTGTAAAGTTACGAGATTGATGAGTGCAAACTCATCAATAATGTGCATGAATAATGTGGGTAAATAATGTGCATTTTATTCAGCCACCGGATGTCCATTACCAGCATTTTTACACAAACAGTCAAGAATTTGCCTCAGTTGATTTGCATTAAAGCCTGTGGGTGTGTGAGTATGGAGGATCAAGAGTGTTGGTTGAAAATAAAATAAAGTATCAAAGAATCAATTTCATAATTGAAGCATTAAAATGTGCCCTGTAAAATCCAACAGTCAACTTTTTCTAAGTAAAATGAGTGTAGTTAACTCAAAATGGCTGAAAGGTAATTCTACTCATTTGAATTATGTTTTGAACTCAGTGTTGAAGGTAATTAGTTAATTAAATATCTCATTACTTCAACTTAAATAGAGTAAGTCCACAGTACTCAGTACAGTACTGGTTTGTAGCAATCGGTTTTCTCAAATGGTTCGAGTTGCCGTAACCTATTGGTTTTTCACTGTACTCAGTTGTTTTAAGTTCTCTTCACTCAATGGATTAAGTTCACAGTACTCATTAGGATTAGTTTTTGAACTTAAACTATTTGAGGAAACTAATTGCAACAAACCGTTTGAGTTACCTTAACTGTTTAGGTTTTACAGTGTATATAAATAAATCACAATTTAAATTGACAATTAATGGACAAATACATATATATATATATATATATATATATATATATATATATTGGATAAAAGCGTCTGCTAAATGACTAAATGTGAATGTGTGTGTATACTTTGAAATATACATTGTAAAACCCAACAGTCAACTTTATCAAATGAAATGAGTGTAGTTAACTCAAAATTGACTAAAAGTTGTTAACTCAAATGGTTTGTTGCAATTGGTTTCCTCAAACGGTTTGAGTTGACTTAACTTATTGGGTTTTACAGTACTCAGTCGGTTTATCGAGTTTTACTGCGCTCAAACTGCTTCGTTTACTCAAACAGATTAAGTTTACAGTACTCATTAGGATTTATTTTTGAACTTAAATGGTTTGTAGCAATTGGTTTCCTCAAACGGTTTGAGTTACCTTAACTTTTTGGGTTTTACAGTGTATAAATAAATAGACAATTTTAGAAATGTTTATTTAATTTATGTTTAAAAATGCTGATTAATCAAACAATAAAACTGTATTTTTATATAAAAAAATGTATACATTTAAATGCACAATTTAAATAGCTTTTTAAAAAGGCATTTGACTGATGCTTTTTTCTTTCTGTTTGCCACTTGCTTTTCTTTTCCTAATCAAGTTAAAAAATGCCATTGGACAGTCCACACGTGGGAGCAACCAATCAACTTTCGCCTCAAGTCAAGCTAAAACCTTGTAAATGAAATGTGCACTGTTATTGGACAGAGAGAGAAACCATAGCTCGTTTTAGCAGGATCTGCAAAGCAACTGAAATGTTAGAGATTTAATAGCTTTAGCTCATTTCTGTTAAATAATTTTTTATCTGGATTATCACTGTCTGTATAGATAAATTTTACAATTGAGGGGTTAGGTTACTGTGGCCCATTTGTGAGTGTGTGTTTAAATAAAGAAAAACTCTTTGATGTAAAATTTCACATTACATGATCAATATTATTAGTGCAACTGCATTTTCAGTTAAGAATACAAGTACAATACATGGATTTATAGGAAACACCTAAAAAAAAGGGATCAAAATAAAGAAAACAACGTCTCGCATGTAGTAGTGAGTTTAAAAATACACTGACGTCAACTGATTTGGCTGCCAAACAAAAAAGATATTTATATCTGCTCGGTGAAATTCAAAGCCATCTGCTCAAAATGGTGGGCAAAAACAATATGAGGAGGTAAGATTAGCTAATATATTTTAAACAGGACAATTAAGGTTATAAATAACAAGAGAGTTGATGTTTGAACACTATTCTACACTGCACTGTGAATACAGAAAACAGCAGCAGTATTATTCAGCCAAATTAATGACATTTTTGATGTTTTTACTTCCTATTTAAATGCAACGTTTACAAAGGGCTCATGATTTTAAATTAATAAAAATAAGCCACCAATGAGGAATAAAATAAAAATGCAGCCACTAGTTTTGAGTTTACACCATTTCAAATGTCTATGGTATAGAAGTGTCTTGAAAAATATCTAGTAAAATATTATTTACTATCATCATGTCTAAGATAAAATCAATCAGTTTTTAGAAATTTGTCTTCTCGCTGTCAAACAGAAATCGGGGAAAAAATAAACAGCAGGGCTAATAATTCTGACTACAATTGTATTTAAAATTAAACTCTTGTGATCAAAAAGCTGATTTTTCATCAATATAAAA